CGCGGCCCCCGCGGGCACCATGAGCCCCCTGCTCCGCCGCCTGCTGCTCCTCGCGCTCCTGCAGCTGGCCCCCGCCCAGGTACGTGCGTCCCCGCCAGCCCGCCGTGCCCTCTCTCAAGGTTGGCGGAAGTGGGGAGGCCTCGGCCGAAGGGGTCTGGGGGTCTGGCCATCGCGGTGGCTGGGCGCTCTGCCTGGGCATCCCCTGGGACGTGCCCGCCAGCCCAGCCCCAGGGCCACTCCCCCGCCCCACCCCGTCCCCCGGGCGCAGCTGGGGGCGGAGCCTCCTTGGTGCCCGCTGGTCCTGGTTCAGGGCCCACTGTGCCCCCTACTGACCTGGGACCCTCGGGCTTGGAGAGTCTGCTTCACTGGCAGAGTGTCCCTGACCATTTGGGACCAGAGCAGGTTCCAGGTGGCCAGGAGAGGGCAGGTGAAGCTAGAGTGACCCAAACAGAGCAATCTGGAAGAATGTCAGAGAGGAGGTGAAGTCTCCTGATCTCAAGGGCAGAGCCCTGGGGACAGCGACAGGGCCAGCCCTCTCACGAGTGCCCCTTGGTCCAGGTCTCTCCTCTCCCACAGGCCCCTGTCTCACAGCCTGAGGCCCCTGGTCACCAGAAGAAAGGTAACAGTAACAGCCCGGCAGTTTTGCCTGCCCCGTGTCTCTTGGTTCCTGTGTTCCTTACCGTGTAAGACCATCACAGCCCTGTAACAGGCGGACTGCTGTTCTGCCCATTTCACAGAAGAGAAAGCTGAGGCGGGGGTCCTGGGTGAATGGCAGGGGAAGACAAGTTGGGAGGGCAGAGAGGGGACTGGTGGAGTGCGGCTGTGGGCATTCAGGAGGACATCTGTGTGCAGAGGTGGGGATCTGTCAGCTCCACTCTCTGCCCCCAGTGGTGTCATGGATAGACGTGTACGCGCGTGCCACCTGTCAGCCACGGGAGGTGGTGGTGCCCCTGACTGTGGAGTTCATGGGCACCATGGCCAAGCAACTGGTGCCCAGCTGCGTCACCTTACAGCGCTGCGGTGGCTGCTGTCCCGACGACGGCCTAGAGTGTGTGCCCACTGGGCAGCACCAGGTCCGAATGCAGGTATGGGGGCAAGTGGCCTGTTCCCAGGGTGGGAGGGGTAGATGCTGGCGTCTGGGGCCCAGGGCCTGGTCGCCAGATTCCTGTCTACTGGACGAGCATCCCCCTCTCTCCGTTTCTGTCTCCCTGAGCACAGATTCTCATGATCCGGTACCCAAGCAGTCAGCTGGGGGAGATGTCCCTGGAAGAACACAGCCAATGTGAATGCAGGTGCCAGCCAGGCCCCACTTCTGAGCGTCCAGAGAACAAGCTTTGGGGGTGCTGGGCGTGGTGGCACCCTCAGTGGGGACCAGGTCTCTCTAGAGTAGCACCCGGGTGCCTGCAGGGATCTGAGGCAGGAGAGTGGGCTTCCTGATCTTCCTCCTCGTCTCTGTCTGTCTCTCTTACTTTTCAGACCAAAAAAAAAAGAAAGTGCTGTGAAGTCAGACAGGTGAGTCTCGGCCTCTGCCGAGGTGGGTTAGAGCCTGGGGCCCAGGGCCCAGGAGTCAGGTGTGGGGGGGCGGGGTGTAAGTGTCGGCGGCTGCAAGGCCCTCCTCTCTCCTCCCACTTGTGTCCCCTCTCCTCCTTTCCTCTGCTCCCTGAGAGCTCTCACCGGACCCCAGCTCCCGGGAAGACTCTTCTTCCTTCCGTCCCAGACATGTCGCTTCTCCTCCTAGGGCTTCCACTCCCCGTCACCGTCCCCAGCCCCGCTCTGTTCCGGGCTGGGACTCTGCCCCCGGAGTGCCCTCCCCAGCTGACATCACTCATCCCACTCCAGCCCCAGGCCCCTCTGCCCACGCTGCCCCCAGCGCCGCCAGCGCCCTGACCCCCGGACCTGCCAATGCCGCTGCCGACGTCGCAGCTTCCTCCGTTGTCAAGGGCGGGGCTTAGAGCTCAACCCAGACACCTGCAGGTGAGCGGCCTGGGGGACCTTGGTTTGGGGGAGGCAACTCAACCCTGTCCTAGAGCGGAGGCAGGGGGAGCCTGCCAGAGGAGAAGCGCCAGGGAAGGGGGAGCTGTTGAACAACGTGTTGGACAAATATTTACCAAGTGTCTGCTGGCACTGGGAGCAGCGGAAATGAGGCTGACGGTCTCACGGGAGCAGGATGCGCCACAGAGGCTGTCAGGACGGTGGGCAGGGGCCCCTGACATCATTAAGAAGTCAGCGATATCCTAGAGGAGGTGACATCCACCTGGAGTTGAAATGAGAGCGACGGTGTTCCAATCTGCAAAGCTCTGGCCTTCCCAGATGCCCCCATGGGAGAAATGTTCCCACCTGTGAGCTCTGAGAGGCCAGGGCAGTAGCAGAACCGCCCTTTCCTGCCACAGGGAGCCCAGAGAGGCTCCCCAGCAGTGTAGGAGGGGATGGGTTCACAGAGGCAACAAAGGGGTGACGTAGAGGAGCTGAAGCTGGGTGCACCAGCACTAACAGCAACCTCCCCCCACCTCAGGTGCCGGAAGCTGCGAAGGTGACACACTGCTTTGCAGCTGCGGGGAAAAGAGAAGCGCCCAGCCCCCAAGTCCTCAACCTGGGCAGCAGTTGCTCTAGGACCTGGCCTGTCGGGGGCTTTCCTGTCACCCCTGTGTCACTCCACAGCTGCCATCCAGCCGGTGGGCACAGCTGGACGAGGAGACGGAGGCGGCAAGAGGGGTCATGTGCCAACGGGGGGAGCGGGGGTCTTGCTCAGTCATAACCGCCCTGTGCACAGGAGCATCTTACACCTGCTTCCCTTCTGCTTGCTGAGAAGAGCCTGATCCTCTGAAAGTCACGGGCTTGGGGACAAGAACTGTGACTCCCAACCCTGATAAAGAGATGGAAGGAGCTGTCCTGGCTCGTGTCGCTCTGTTGCCATTCCGTCTGGCTGGTTTGGGCGTGAACACCTGCGCCACACCGTACTGCCTCCGCCTGAGCTGGGTATACGGAGGCAATGAGGCCCCGGGCCCCACACCAGGTCCCGGGTAGAGGCAAAAGCCATGTATTCTTCACATTTACGTGACTGCCAGGCCTTGGGGAGTTCCTGCCACCCTGCTCCTCACAAGCTCCTCCAGGAAGGAGACAACCTGCTGTGGTCCATGAGCTTGAGGTGGCATCAGAGTTGCTGAGTGACCTTGGCTGTCACCACCCCTTACGTATTTTCTGTGGATGGAGGGAACAGATGACTGCTGTGTCCTGAGCCTGGGGCCCTGGGGCAATATGCATCTGTCTTCATATAAAAGGACACCCCTCTACCCTGCCTGGCAGCACTGTCTGCTGCTTTTTGCTCCCTTCACTCAACACCAAAGCAACACACTTGCCCTAGTCCCACCTCACTCCCACCTCCTTGCAAGGCAAGTACCCAAGGTCTGTGGCTAGCAGGCATGACGTGGGAGACAGGCCCTTCCTCAGCCAACCATACAGATGCCCCCACTTCCTCCTCCCTTGCACCGCGGCACCCCTCATGAGCATCTGTGCTCGAGACTTCTGATCTTTGACCAGCACAAGTGTGGAAGCTGAACCTCTGCCTGCAGCGGCCAGGGTCCCTGGGGCTGAGTGGTGAGGGGGTGGAACAAAAGCCAACCTTGAGCACCATGCTTTGTCCTTCTGAGGCAGGAAAATCGGGCAGAGGTTACCCCAAAGCTGCTACCTTAAGTGTGGCTTTCTCTGGGGTGTTCAGTTGGAGGAAGTGGTAGGTCTCAACCAAAAGTGGGGTTACAATAAGAAGTAGTTCCTGATTGTGATTGCTATTTTCAAGTCTTAGTCACGCCGTTAGTGATCATGTCACAGACCACAGAGCAACACAGATGAGGTCTAGAGACCCCGAGCTGCCACCTCGCAGCCCATGGGGCTGCTGGACTTGCAGAATGCATCGTATGCACATGCTCCCCAAGTCCTCACTTCTGAGATCAGCACCGAGGTTATCTTTTTTTTTTTTTTCAAATGAGGAAAGAGGTTCTGAAAGGCTGATTGACCTGGGGGTTTGACCTTACATAGACTGTCTCCTGAACTCAGCTGAGGTTTAGCTGCTTCCCAACCGCACACTGGCTGCCAGGACTGCCAGATATTTTCTGGGCACCGCTGGGTGCTGGACACCTAAATAGGAACGGGCTGGGGCAGGCCGAGATGCGAGTAGAGACAAGGAGGCCATTCGCTCGCTGCGGGTCTGCGTCTAGTGCTCTGCTCATCTTAGCAATCCCACAGAAATCCTACAGGGGTCTTTGGGTGTTGCAGGGACACCACATCCTAACCGATGGAATGTGCTCAAGGTCACACAGCTGGTCACAGGCCGAGACCGAATTCGAACCCAAGCCTCACTGTGAAGCCCGGGTTTGCCCCCCAGCATCCAACTGGGGCTGTAGGAGAGGCCTGGGCACAAAGGAGAACGCCGCGGGAGAGACTGGGGGCGACGTAAAATGGCGTCCCAAGACCCCCTCCAGGAACGCGCGCCCGCCTGACCTTAATTTCACCCCGCCCGGAAGTGCCTTCAGCCCTTTCGGAAGTCACTTTCACCTAACCTTAAGAAGGACCACTTCGCCGGAAGTGACGTCGTCACGCGGTCCCCCGGGGCGGGGCTAGGAAAAAAGCCGCCGCTGCGAGCATGTGGCAGCGGGTTTCGCGCGGTCCAATGAGGGCGGGCGGCGTGGCCCGGCCTGGTAGCAACGGCGATGCGCCTGCGCAAAGGCGGCAGCACGACTGGGGTGGACTCCGGGGGCGCGGCGAGGAGGTGAGCGGGGGCCACAGCCCGGGCTGGGGGGACCCGGGGTGCGAGAGGGCAGGCTGGATCAGGCCGGGCAGGAACGGGCTGGGGTTCCAAGTGTCCACGAGGGATAAGTTGCAAGGAAACTGGGCGTTGGGGTCGGAGCTGTCCGGGGATGCCGCAGGGGGAGGGTTCTCACGCTGCACGGGGCGGAGCCCCGGGGCTCGGGGCGGGACGTGGGGCCGAGAAGGGTGGGTCCTCCGAGCTGGTGCCTGGGGAAGGCGGAGCTCCGGCGCCGGGGGCGGGGCCAGGGCTGGTGGGGGGCGGGGCCTGGTCCCTGGAGGCGGGGCGGCAGCGAGGGGAAGGCGGGGCTGCGCTTTCGGAAACCAAGGGGGCTGGAACCCAGGCCCTGGGGGCGGGGCTTCAGCCGGAGGGTGGCGTGGTCACCGTTCCGGAGAAGGGGTCCAGTTCTGTCGGGGGCGGGGCTCCGGGGCCCGGGGCGGAACCGCGCCCTCTAGAGGGCGGGGCCAGGGAGCCTAGCGTAGGGGTAGGCCCAGGTAATGGCCCGGGGCGTCCACGCGGGGGCGGTCTCCGTGGTGGGCGGGCCTGGGGACGTGCTAGGCCGAGAACTCCCCCGGGAGAAGTGGTGTGGGTGGAACGGGCCAGGCGGCCACCCGACACGGGACCAGTTTGGGTGCCCCGGAGGCCCCCGAGGGCTCAGAGCTGGGGCGGCGCCCCGGGCGGAGGCACAGGATCAGCCTGGGGAATGCCCCATGAGGACCGGGGCTCTCCAGAACCACCCAGTGGTGATGTGTGGGTACCTCGGGGCCGGCCCCCTGCAACGACCGCAGAAGTGTGGGTGTGCTGGGCGGGAGGCAACTGGGTGTGGCGTGAGTGGGCACGCCCAGTTGGGACAACTGCTGTGCAGTCAGATAGGGTCTGGACTTTGCGTAAAGGGACGGGTGGGAACTGAAAAGTGGGGCTGGGCACCGGGAGGGAATGAAGGTCTGGGAGTGAGCGAAGGGGCGGGGCCCTGGCTGCTGTGGCCTCCCCTGACTCCCTCCCCTCGCTGCTGGGGTCCTCAGGCAAGCCCCCTTCTCACTGGACTGGTAAGTGTGGCTGTGGAGCCCGGTGGAGGGGGTGGTGACCGGGACGAGGGGATCCCCAGGGGCAGGCAAGTTACGATGGGGTGGAATCCTCCTGGCATCTGCCTGTTCCGTGACATGCAACCCCCTCTCCCATCGGTTGGGCGGTGGGGGTCCATCCCCACAGAGAAATGAGGCTGAGCTGGATCCTGACAGTACTGACCATCGGCCTGAGTGCCCTGGCTACGCCTGCAGGGGCAGAGGGCAAAAGGAAACTGCAGATCGGGGTCAAGAAGAGGGTGGACCACTGCCCCATCAAATCCAGAAAGGGTGATGTCCTGCATATGCACTACACGGTGGGTGAAGGGAGGGGCTTTGAGCTGGGTGGGTGGGACTTCTGGGCACCAGAAAGGACTTGAGAACCAGCTTCTTCTGCAACAAGGTGGATGACCTTGGATAAGTTCTCCCCCCCCTTTCCCCCAGTTTTCATGGTTCTGTACCCTGCCCTTTACCATTTCTCAAATGGATACCAACCAGCAATGATGATGTACTGTGAGCCGCCACACTGGTAGAATTGTGGCTACCAATGGTGGGGGGCAGCTTGAGAACAAAATGGGGGCCTGTATCAGAGCGGACCCTCCTCCTCATTGGCCTTCCCATGATCCCACAGGGCAAGCTGGAAGATGGGACAGAGTTTGACAGCAGCCTGCCCCAGAACCAGCCCTTTGTCTTCTCCCTGGGCACTGGCCAGGTCATCAAGGGCTGGGACCAGGGGCTGCTGGGGTGAGTCTTGGGGTCATGGCTGGGGTCCAGAAGGTGAACTGTGGGAGATGAGTCTCAGGGCTGGGTTGGGTGGCAGGGAGCCTGGGAGCTGTCATGTGCTGAACACATGTTGTCCTGCAGGATGTGTGAGGGGGAAAAGCGGAAGCTGGTGATCCCATCAGAACTGGGTAAGAGGCCCTTCCGGAGCTAGGATAGGGGAGTTGCGGGTAGGTGTCAGGGTGGTGCAGGCTGACACGTGTATGTTGGTCTCCGCCCCAACCATTCATTCTAGTACATGTTCTTCCAAGCCTAGCTGTGTCTGGTCTAAGGGTGCTTGGCCCCGCCTCTGCCCTCTCCTGGGCCTTTGATAGCCCCTTCCTGTCCTGTGACACCTTCTCCACTTTGCTTGGAAGTGGGAGAGGCCTGGCTGCAGCCGAGGTGTCTGCAGAACATCTTTTCAACCACAGCTCACTGTTTCTTTGTTGTATCTCCAACAGGGTATGGCGAGCGGGGAGCTCCCCCCAAGATTCCAGGTAATATGCGTCCTGCCCCCGCTCTCCCCCACACCGCATCCATCCTGTCTCCTTGTGGCCCTAGTTCTCGCTCTGACCCAATTTCTCCTACAGGTGGTGCAACTTTGGTGTTCGAGGTGGAGCTGCTCAAGATTGAGCGCCGTTCAGAGCTGTAGCCAAACCGAGGGGCAGTGCAGAGGCCCCATCAGGGACCAGACTGTTTAAAAAGGAAAAAAAAACTTAAAAAAACCCATGGAGTGAGCCTGTGTTTGTTTGTGGGCCCCGAGAGATTTAGAAGCCACAGCTCAGCGCCCCCCACCCCTCCTTCCTAGCTGCAGAGCCTTGGGGGGTCTAGGCTCAGTGGCAGAGGTCTCAACGGCCAGGCCCTGGGTGGCGTGGTAGCTGTCAACCAGTGGGAGAAGGGAGTGTTTCTGCCTGCCAACAGCAAAACCCCCCCCCCCAGCTCCCCAGCCACTTAGGCTCCTGGTCTGGGAGCCAGCACTGGGCTATCGCCATGACTACGTGGCCCTTAGGAAGGCCTGCGGTCACCTGGGGAGGAGCTGAGCTGGCGGCAGTTGTAAAGCAGTATGGCCCCCCCAAAAGAGACCAGCAAAGCCTGTTAGCTGCACCAAAGGCATATCCTAGCTTTATTAAAGGGCCCGCGCCGCAGTCAATATAAAAACACAAAAAGTCCCATCCGTTTAATAACAATAAAAAACCCCAAAAATGGAAAACTTGTAGGAGCAGGGAAGAGGCCCCTAGGCCAGGGGCATGAGGAGCCCTGCTCACGGCACCAGGCCTGGCCGCAGGGCTCCCTGGTATTGCTGTTGCTACGAGGTTGGGGGGCAGCGATTGTCCTGTGGGAGCCACCGTTTGCCTGGGCCGAGGACCCTTACTTCTTCTGGGGTGTGCTCAGCTTCTGCATGCCCCGGATTTTGTCCAACAGGCCAGAGATGAAGGCCTGCATGAGAGGGAGGATATTAGGGAGGCTGAGATGAGGGGAGTCCCATTCACCCACCCTCTAGGGAAACCACTTACCTCAGTGGGTTTGTAACAGTCAACCAGCAGCTCCTAGCGGGGTGGAAAATATGACAGTGAGTTCTCAGGACAGGGACTGGAGTTCATTTGTACTTCCAAGGGGCTGGGGCCACTCAACAGATAGGTAAGCACCAGTAACCCCATTTAACAGAGGCGGAAGCTGAGGTCCAAGGTCAGTGCGGGCTGATTGGGCTCCAGCGGGGCTGACCCCAGGAAGGATATGGTCCAGGCAGCCCTGCCCACCCTTACCTTGACCCTGGCAGCCCGGGCGTCATCACTCTCCATGTCCAGGAGCTCATCCACATCTATCTCCAGCTCTGGGATCTCCTCTTCCTGGGGACAAAATAGGGGAGAAGAAAGAGAAGGACCTGAGTTGAGAGGGTGTAGGGAGCTCTCCAGCTAAGGGCCCTGCCCTGCTGCAGAACGAGCCACCAGCCCTCTTTGCCCAGCAGACAGTGGCAGCTGCTCTGAGGAAGAAAACAGATCAGGCCTGTGCCAAGGCAAACTGCCCGGTGCAAGGAAGCTTCCTGTGTCTGCCAGTGAGCACCCTGGGAGCCAGACAGGGCCAGACAGCTAGGGCTGGGGCCCCGGCATTCGTCTTCCCCAATTCCAGGCCCCCCATCTCATCAACACAGGTGGAGCCAGCTGTCCCAGTTCATCAAGGCCCCTTCCCCTCCCCCAAACACCTGTCACAGCTTCCCCCAATGAGGAGGAAGTGAAGGGAGAAGGGTCAGTGGGAGAACCCAGGCCTGGTAAAGGGGAGACAAAGAGCCCATGCTTTGCTGAGGGAGGGGTGCCCATCTCCCTTCCTCCCCAGGAAGCATCTATCCAGGCTAAAGCCAGCTGCATTCCAGGGTAGGCAGCACCGGGCAAACCCACTCCTCCACCCTGCCCCCCGGGGCCTGAGTCACTATTTGAGCAAGGAAGGAGTCATGGGGTGGAGAACCAGAACCCAGAGAGCAAGCTAGACAGCTCCCATCTCCCACGCCAAGATGATGGAGCGCTCCGGGCCAGTCCATCAGAACAACTCGCACCCTCTAAGTCCCCTACAACCAAGCTCATGCCTTTTAACCAGGTTATGCTAGCAGGTGCTAGAGAGGTAGGTTAGACCCCTTCCACTGTCAGCCCAGGCTAGCTGTCTGTCCAAGGTGGGCAGTCCCTTCAGGCTTCTAGAGGACCTCGAGCTTGCCCAGGGGAGTGGCACGAAGGAGGTAGCGCAGAAGACAGGAGTGACTTGGGAGAGACAAGAAAGAGCACACGTTGGGGGCAGGGAGTGTGAGGGGAGCGCGCTGAGGCAGAGCTCCCATGGACTTGGGTGACAGGCAGGCTCAAGGTGGGGTTCCCGGGCGGCCCAACTGGGGACAGATTTCAGGGTGTTAGCGCAAAGTAGGGGACACACCTGGCAGTCGTAGAGGCGAGTGAGCTGCTCCAGAATCCACTCCTCCAGGTTGAGGCGCTTCCGTAGCTCCTTACGGTCGTACTTGACCGTGACCTTCCCTTGGCGCCTCACAGGGCCCTCGTCGTCCGCGCCGCCGGGGCCTTCCCCTGCAGCCCCAGGGGGGCTCTGAAAGTAGACGCGGGGCCCTGGGCCGCCACTGCCAGGG